TTTTTTTCTTATTCTTGTTGCATAAATTTTTTCACGTACCATCATATTTGATGATATAAATTCGTAAAATATATTTTTTACTTTTTTTCCATTATTCTATATTAATAAGTGCTTGAATATTTGTATGTATCTTATTTCAGTAAAAGTAGATCTTATGACAGTTGATAAACAACTGTACAACTGTTTATATTAATTCATAAATTAAAAAAGCAATCTATAAACCGAAAATTCGTAATTTAGTGTATTTCACCAATCATCAAAAATATAATAACATCATCCAAAAAAATTCATGTTTTCAATATATTATCTACTTATAATAATACCATATTTTCGTACCATATTTTCACAGATAGTTGCGTTGGCTTCCTTTGTGAAGACGGGAAATGCTTAGACTCCAGCGCGATTTGTAACATGCTAGTAGAATGTCCAGGCGCGGAGGACGAGGCTAATTGTACGTGCGCTGATTTCCTCAAAACACAGCTATTGTATCAGAAAATTTGCGACGGTATCGCCGATTGTTGGGATTATTCAGACGAGAGCAATTGCGGTAAAATTATTTAATTCGGATTGTCACGATAACTCATAAAATTTAAGTAAATTAAAACTTAATTAAATTAAACTTAATTAAATTTCAATTAGCTCCAATTAACTTTCAAGGGTCAGCTAAAAATCTTCTCACATCTCATTTCTTACTCGTTTAATTTTATTTTATAGATTGGTGCGAGGAAGATCAATTCGTATGCGGTAATAGCAAATCCTGTGTTGATACGGATAAGGTATGCAACGGTTTTAGCGATTGTCCCGGCGGCGAAGATGAAAAGAAATGTACCGCTTTAATAGATAACACACACGAGGAAAACATAGCTGAATCACAAATTGATCTTGTCTTGACAAAAAACTTATCAAAAAATCATTCCGAGATGGTCAAACGTCTCGATCAAGTAATCGAGAGAAACAGAGAATCTTCTATTACAGAGAAAGACACAACCACTCTATACATAGATAATTTACAATCTGAAAGATTAATAAACGACAAGAATAATCTATCTTCGAAATTAATCAATCAAGAGTTGACTCGGAATAGAGATGTGGAGGAGAGTAACATCGAAGTTGCAGTTTCCAGTAGAGAAACGTCTTCGAACGTTTTAAGGAACGGTTTGATTCCGGGGAATAATTTGCATATCAAAGATAACAAAAGAACCTTTCCAATAGCAAAAGTTTATAACAATAATGAGATCGATAATTACAACAATAAAGGAATACTTAGCATACGAAAAAATGGTAAATGGGGAAAACTTTGTTTTGTCAATACGAATAGTCTCACACAAGAGCAGCACGTGCGTCAAGTTACGTGGTCCATCGAGGATCTTGCCAAGGCTGCATGCAAGGCCATTACGTATCAGTAAGTATCATATCACCGTTAAAATCTCGATTAACAGAAATTTCTTTACAAATTCATTTCTATAAGAAAGTCAAATTTCTGTACATTTTTTTCTATAACAAATTTTTTTATACTGAAAGCCCTTTGTTTGCAGAGATTATGAAATGGTGGAAAAAGTGCTAGATCAAAATCCGCCATCGAACCGATTTTATTACACTTTGTCGTATGATAAATCAGATCTTTCGGATAGAACAGCTTTGTCTTTCAAATCATCTCAGTGCCCAAGCGGCGAGGTTCTTAAAATAAGATGCAAAAATTTCGAATGCGGAATAAGAACTCAGGTGGCATCGACCGCAAGGTATGTCATAAAATATTATTGCACTAATTCTGTCATTCGGGCATGAAACTCGGAATTGAATATTTTAAAACAAATATTATTTTCTTTTTATCATTTTCAGGATTGTCGGTGGTGCTAGCAGTTCCGTGGGCAATTGGCCATGGCAAGTAGCTTTATACAAGGATGGTAATTACCAATGCGGTGGTGCTTTAATCAATGATAGATGGGTTATCAGTGCTGGGCACTGCTTTTCTCAGTAAGTTGAAAGATGAATTTTTTGTATATAGCTTCAAGGTTTTAATTGAAAATATTGCCTTGCAGCGCACAGAATAACTATTGGGTTGCAAGAATCGGTGCAACTCGTAGAGGAAGTTTCCGAAGTCCACATGAGCAACTCTTACGAGTGGATTATATATCACTACATCCAGATTATGTTGATCATGTATTCCTCAATGATATAGCCGTAATAAGACTCGAACGAGCGGTTAGTTTCAGCGACTATATACGACCAGTATGCCTCCCGAAAGCACCGGTACTCACTGGGACTGTATGCGTGGTCACTGGATGGGGTCAGTTATATGAAATCGGCAGGGTGTTTCGTAAGTAGGATAAATTCATCTTGGCAAAGGTGATCGTAATCTTACATTAAAAAGGTTTCATATAATATAAATCCTGTTATTTACATTTAACAGCTGATACATTGCAAGAAGTACAAATTCCAGTCATGTCGACAGAAGATTGTCGAAGGAAGACTCTATTCTTGCCGCTATATAGAATTACAAATGGAATGCTCTGCGCAGGATTGGAAAACGGTGGCAAAGACGCCTGTCTTGGAGACAGTGGTGGTCCTTTGGTATGCTTATCACCGTTTGAAAATCGTTATGTACTACAAGGTATGAAATTGAATATTTAAATAAATTTCTCTGTCCCTTCATCTAAATATAAATATCTTTTTTTGATCAGGAATTACCTCAAATGGTTACGGATGCGGAAGGCGAGAACGACCGGGTGTCTATACAAAAATTTATTCCTATATGTCATACATCGATTATGTCATCACACAGAAAGATATCCAACCGTCTGCAGTAGAGTTCTGCAAAGGTCACAGATGTCCTCTCGGAGAGTGTTTACCCAAATCACGTGTCTGTAATGGATTTTTGGAATGTTCCGACGGCAGTGACGAACGAGATTGTTCCACAATCTCGCGATAATACAAGACTGATATGTCAATATGATAATATAAACACGATTTATATTTATATAAGTAAGCTAGTGCAGTTCGATGAATAGATATAGTCTCATTGAGGGAAAGTTAATTGTATATAAGTTATACATAAAGATACGTCGCATCAATGTCTTATTAAAGGCAATATATATAAGTGTATTTTTATTTTCTCAAGTCATACAATTTTAGGGTACTATAATTATCTTTCTATACAAAGATGTGGTAATATCAATCTGAAGACAATGAGAGCTTAATATTAATTCATGCAAGTATCTACAAAGTGCAATTAAATAAAATTTGCTTGAAAAGAATGGATCATAAACGGTACCGTTTAAGGCGTAAAAGCGAATTACAAAAGGAAATGTGATAGAACATTCCACGTTCTTTTATAGCATAGAAATAGAATTAAATTAATTACACTAGCAACAAAACTCAATAGACTGTTGCGAAATTTTAGAGATTCTATAATTATATCTTTAAAAGAAGGATTCTTTTACTTCTAGATTAATTGTGTATATATATCGAGAAAAAGTAGAAAAAAACTTTGCGATTATTTATTTAGAACGTTGCAAATCTCTCTCAATGTCGTATTATTAATGGTTAGTTATTTCAGTATACAGATCTTTATGTAGATAATAATGTTCACGCAGAAATTAACTTAATTTGTATTAATTCTGTTTTTAAACAAGTATTTTAAATTATGCTATTGGCAAGATCTGATCAAATAAAAAGTCTAGTCTATAATGTAAAAAGACACGACTTATCTTCACACAGTAATGTGTACATATATTACGAAATTATTATAAAATTTATAATTAATGTGAAATTTAGAAGAAAAAATGGCAACAAATATATTCTTTTTGTAAAATTCATGTTCTTTTCATTGTCTTCAATTTTAGTTGGACAATTAGAAGGTAAATATGCAATATAATGATACAAAGAATGATATACAACTTCACTTTATTAGTCAGATTTTCATCACCAAAAATCATTTCCACGAAAAATATTAAATATATCGTATAATATTAACGTTTAAATAAAAGCTTTCGTAAATAATTTTATAATACTGTTATCAGATTAAAAATAGATGAAATAATTATGTATTTTATTACAAATTGTGCGATATAAACAAATAATTGCTAATGATGTCGCTGTTTTGTTCATTACAAATGTCATTTAGTACTTTACTTAAGTAATTTTATCTTACTCAAGTAATATTAGTATTAGCATATTCTCGTTAAATGTCCACACTATTAGATTTCCATTTCTTGATTATTGATATCTCATTTGTAAATATTGTATAATACTGAACGACAGAGTAAAAGTGTAGAGGCAAAATATATCGAACTATTGATGATGGCATCCGACACCATTTAGGAGTAATGCTCAGAGGCCTAGTATATCTGGTTCCTGATAGCTGTACAATGTTCATTTCATCCGGCATACCAGAAAGTTCTGTGCAGCGACAGGTTTGAGCAAAACTTCTCGTACGATAAAAAATGGTGTAAATGTATAAAAGAGTGACTCGAAGACGATAAAACTTTTGTCCATACTATGTTTAACATCATTCGTTATGTCTTTTCTCATTTTTGATCTTAAAATATATAAATATATAATACCTATACCACAGAAAAAAAATCCCATAATAATCCACAAACTCCATTAGATGTATTATAACCATTAAAGGAGTTCAGCATTTTGCAAAAGTAGATTATCTTGAGATTCAAGATATTTAATGATTCAATACAATTAAATACGTTAGCCTGATAATATAAGGATCCTCAAACAGCAAAAAATTTCTCAAACAATTTAACAATACGTCGTTACTGTTAATTACCGAATGCATTTCGTCGATGTGTACAACTTATATTCAGGAACATAGTGATATATATATGTATATATGATCGAAGCCAATCCATTAGACATAAGCGAAATATACAATACTAAATCTGATATTTTCTTTAATTCTGCATTATTTGCAGAAGATAATAGATAAATAATATTATTAATAAATTGATAATATCTTTGATGATCATACCTTTAATTATATTGTTAAGAAGATGCATAGGCTACGCCTATAAATAAATTCTTCATTTTTAACCAAGAGAATCAACAGCCATGGTATTAAGACCGTTCTTACTAATAGTAGTCTTAAATTGTTCCGGTACTGGATATTCGCTCTGTAATGTAATATATTCATAGGATTATAAAAATTATAAAATTGTAAATTGTAGGCTAACTTACATAATCTCCATTGGCTTTGGGCACCATGACGTTCATTTCACTAGATTTGCTGGTGATGAGTTCAACACCCAAGGAATCCGTACTTAAATACATTTGACAACCGTCCGTTTTGTCAATAGAAATTGTAGGTACTTTTCCAAGTACCTGTAATAAATATATAAAAAAAAATATGATTATTAACATATGTTATTAACATATTAGGCTAAAACTCGAACCAGTACTCGCAGTAATTGACAATATATTCAGAGCGCATTTCGATAACAATTGCCAATGCGTAAGTGCTCGGCTTTGCAAACCATGCCGAACATGTATCGGTAGTGGAAGATATAGAAGCCTGACAGTCCTCCGAATTTTACATGCACAATTTCATTTGCATTAAAATATCATTTCAACAAACATTGCGTACATAAAAATGCCGTGGAAAGTTGGTAAGAACATTTTTTCTTATTTTTAACGCTATGCTAAATAAAACATAAATAGTGTACGTCAAAATATTTATTTATTTTGCAAAAAATTCGAACGAATGGGAATGTTTTAGGTGGAAATTTCGAAACTGCAGCGGTAACATGTGAGACAAATTGGAAAGACTGTGTAATCGGGGTGGCAAATTATTTGTGGAGCGAAGTTGTATCTGATGTCGTAGATTATTTAGCAAAAGAGGGATTTATATGGGTATGCAATTATGTATACACGGATTATTACTAATCACTTTTAAAGTTTTTGTTTTTGTTAAGGATTTATATTACAAACTAAATATTTTAAATTTACAAATTATTTTTGTTCTAGTTTCATAAAATTAGAATTTTTTTCTAGCTAAATTATTATTAGGTTTATAAAAATGTTTGATTATACTTCATTGTCTAATATTTGAAGGTTTTAGCGATAGTCATCACTTCCACGATACTTATCCGTATAAAATATTGCAAAAACATGCACATGAAACAAGCTGTGCTTAATAAACAAATACTAAATAAAATCGGGTATAAAATTCAGGATCTAGAATTGAAAATCAATGTTTTAACATACAAAATGCAATATGGAACTTGGCCATTACCACATCAAATCTGTAATTTAAATCCAAAGTTGCGGAAGATCAGAATGACTTTATCCAATCCAGGTGACCGAAAAAATTGGCTAAAACATGTGCTATTAAAGTACGTATAAAAATTTAAAATATTGAATAATTAACAAAATATTGAATAATTAATTTTAATGAGTCAATTATAAAAGAATACGGATTTTAATACATTTGTGTTTATTTCATAATAATGCTTTATTTCAGCCCTTCATCGGAGAGTAAAATATATACTCCTTGTTCAAAAGTGTTTCGTTCATCAGAAGCAAAACTAATGAATCATTTTGATATAAAAGAAGAAAATGTTCCACAATATATTAAACACAATGAATTATCAACAGCCTGCAGTAGCATTGAAACTTTAAAATCTACTAGTGACCAATCTGTGAAGTACAAAAATTAAAAATATATTCGATTTTACATTAATTTTTCCTATTCATATAACACTATGCAATTTTTATACAGATAAGCACAATAGTCTTAAATTGCTTCAGAAATATTTTGCACTTTCTCTCGATGATGATTTCCAATCTTATTTAATTTTTTTTACGCAAAGACATTAATGGAAAACTGTTAATAAAGCATTAATAGAAAAACTAAAAATAAAGAAAAATATTAATAGGAAACTATTAATGTTTTGCCCGGTGAAATCTTCATCAAAAACTAAAAAAAACATATTAATATATAACATGATAATTAATTATTACACGTTTTATTTTATCATATAGTAATAAGAATTCAGAGAAAGCGTAAAATCTTTAAGATAACCTGTGCAATCACTGAGTTAGCTTATTTTGTTAGTATATATTCAGCGAGGGCACATATATATCCGCAAAATGTGAGAATGAAGAAAAATGATCTCTCTAAAAGTAAAAATTTCACGTTGCAACGCCGAAATGTGCAGCTTCTACCATTGAATTCGGATGTGATTAATCATAAATCTTTAAAAATGACTCCTTCCTCAATGCAGAATGATATATATGCGATAAATGCTAAATACAATCCATGCCAGAAATTCACAGAGACTATCTATAAATGTAAATCATTTCTCAAAGAATTGCAACGTAACGATAAATATCTACGTTCATTGAATCAGCCATCAAAAATGAGCAAATCTTTAAAAACCGCACACACAGCAGAACAAGTAAGTTTATCAATCATACTTAAATTAGCTCAATAAATAATGTATGATAATTATATATATATTTTAGACAGCTTTGTCGACAACGGAAAAAAGAAAAATATTCTGCGAGGCTTCTGTAACAGCAAAAAAAGAGAAAATAAATGAGAAAAAATGCGTAAAACGGGTGCAATGTAATATGACAAAAGAGATATATTATCCAAATAAGGTGAATGTATCTAAAGACATTGCTGCTTTAAAGACAAACAATCATGTGTCCTCGAGAGAATCCATTTCAGTTATTCCAATGCAACCAATTCAAAATATACAACCTTCTCAGGAAACTTTAATTAAAGTCAGAAAGAGACTTCAGAATTTACGTAATGTGTTGCAAACATATCAAGACACGAATCAGTCCACAAAAAAACAAGAATCGACAAAAAAAAAAATCAATGAAATAAATTCATTTATAACTTATCCGGTCATGAATATTTCAAGCGAATATTTCGAGCTAAATCGCTCAAAAGACAGTTTATCTTCCTTAGCCGATTCATCACGTACGTCGAAAACGTATCAACGTTCTAGTGAAAATCTTACATTGCAAAATACTTACTCTAAAGGATTTAGTCAACATGATATACAGAGCAATCTTCCAACATCAGCATTTGTATCAGCAAAATCACACTCATGTTCCCGCAATGCAAAATTACAGACATCAGAAAGTTACGAAAATGAATACAAAGACTGCTTGTGGGAAAATATTTTAGATCGCAATTGTAACCACAAAATAGAATCGAATTCCGAAGTCAATAAAGATGCAATTAAAACAAATACTTTATTCAATACACGAGATAACATATCTGAAGCAATATCAGAAAGAATATTTTATATCTTATCTCCTGAAAAAAAGGACAATCAAATTCAAAACGAGGCATTGTTAGAGGAAAGATTCGCTACTAAAAAATTCAGCAACACATTTGATAAAGAACAATACCGAGAAAATGTGACAATATCTCAAAATAGCAGTCAAAGTAAAATATCAAACAATAGCAATAACAGGGAAAATAAATCGACGATATTATTGCTTCAAGAGGCTTTGCATTTCAAGAATACTTTACTGACACACTCAAGAACGAAGTGTCCGATAAATAATGTAAAACAAGGAGATATTGCGGATGAATCTTCACTGATATCAAATAATAATTTTCCTTCGATGATAATAGATATCAAAGAGGAAGAGCCAGTTGTTAGTAACACTCATGATAAAATTAATCAGCGTTACATCTGTCTAGAAATGAAACAACGACGTGACTTATTTCCTCAATATTTGAAAAAAGTAAATACACTTCCGCATTGTGAAGACGAACAAAATACGAAGAGCCAAGATTATATTCGCAAAACATCTTCGGAATATTTTAGTATTACGGATCTCGCGAGTCATAATAATAATAATGTTGAGATTAATAATAATGTTGATATTTCGTTAAAACCTCCAATTTATGAAAAAGTAATCTCGATAACGATACCAATTGATATGGATGAAAGATCGATGCAAACGAAAACTGTCCTACAAAATATTCAGACATGTGTACAAGAAAATTTAAGAGAAAATGCAACGTCCGATATCGACGACAACATAATCGATAAACATTCGCCGACAATGTTAAAATTCGAAGATCTCATATTGGAACGTGTTAAAAATATCAGAGATTATATGGACACTTTTCTTCAAAGTCAAAATATAGCAATTTTCAAAGCACGCAGAGCACTTCAATATCAAGGTAAAAACGATATTTTTCGATGTTCGGATAAGGCGAATCATGTAGTAGTATATAATCGATCGATCGCACCATCTAGCAGAACCGACCAAATTATTGGTTCTTCAAAGGAATCATCAGATATTTTAACAAATACATGGCCAAATTACATAGAAGAATACAAACAGAAAACAGAAAATGATTTAAAATCTTCTGACCTGCACTTAAAGAGAAACCCAGGAATGTTCGCTCTTATTACTCCTATTAAGAATAAATTCTCTATCAAGAACAATACACAACAATCCGGAATACCTACAGAATTAGAAAAGGAAGAAGTTGATTTGTCTCTTCCAGAAGTTTTAACATATTCTCACAAAATTGACTCAAAATCTACGCACAAAATATCGAATTCGATAACAACTCGTCGTAAAGAACACTCAAATACAGAAAATAATATAATTGATAAAGATATTATAGTTGATGTGAATGCAGATTTCCATAAACGTAAAAAGCAGACGCAAATCACTGAAAGTAAACCATCAATAATATCATATTTTTCACTCGATGTTGCAAATGCTGATGCAAAAGTTATTCACACAGCATGCGAAGACTATCTAACGAAATCTAATTGCAATTCGACCTCTCATAGTAATTCGTATTTTACTGACGAAGAGATAATAAGTGATGTAAAAATGAACAACGTACCTTCCAAATCTATATCGGACATGAAACATTCACATTTAAAATTAAACGTACAGAAAGAAACAAAACAAAATGTTACTAAACAACAAATATCCCTGGATGAACGTTCAAATACAAATATAGTAACGCCAAGCGAATTACCATCAGAATATTCTAACTTGACAATACTTATTAACTCAAATCTTATTCTTGATAAATCAAAACGTGATTATTCGACAAATCCGAAAACAACATCTTCTTTAATGATGTTGAAGGAAAACGATTTCATTTTCGATCCCACTGCTTCTTTATTACCTCTCTCATTAAATAAAGAAAATGAAACATTAAATACAGATAGTACCTTATTAAATAATTTAAAACAAAATGATGAAATATCTATAGGCATTGCAAATTTATCGCCTCGAATAGAACGTTATTCCACAAAACCATTCCAAACATATTCTCAAGTTAAAACTAAAAGTGACATGTCTTTAATAACTAATAGACGTAAAGATTTAAAAGTTAATATATACCCAAAAAAATCACCTTCATTTTTGATGCGTCATAATACGAAATACACCAGCGGTACATTACATCAGCCATATGCAAAGCTGCACAATGATAAAAATAAGTGTGTAAAAAATAAATTGCGACTCATAACTCAATCAAAGTCTATTATATCACCACAAAGAGTATCCACTAAATCTTGTATACCAATTTTAAAAAATCGTTTAGAATCATCTCACAGAATAAAACATCAAGGGCACGCGAGGAGTCCTATGAAAAGTCCATTGACTATGTTGGGAGAAAAAACTTATACAAAAGTTCATGCAACAGATGAGGAAGTTGTGCGAAATAACAATGTTTCAATAAATAGGCATTTGCATGTAGAGAGAACTGTATCACATTTAACTAAATTAAATTTAGAAAAGAACGTATTCAATAAAGATTCGGAAAAACTTAATATGACGTTCAAAGAAAACACACCAAAAAAACATTCGGGAATTTCGTCTAGTGATCAAAATGTAAAATCCTTGGCAATCGATAAAGAACATTCAGATAAAAGCGACATATATGAAAGTAAATCAGATACAAGCATAATGCAGCATATAAAAAAGATTGCTTCTAAAGAGATGATTGTTATTTCTATTATGGCAAATGATGATTTACGGAAGAAATATCCGGCGGATCTATTTATTTTAAACACGAAGAATATTAGTCCCACGACTGATTTGCTGATACATAAAAACAAATTGTGGACTATTACTGTTGAAAAGAAGGAAAAAGAAGTTACGGCGAAACCTTCCATTACAGATACATGTACATCAATGTCTAACTTACAATGAATGACATGAGACGTATAACTTATCTTATCTCTGTAAATATTTTTAATATTTTTATTTATCGAATTCTTTTATATAAGAGTGCATTTTTTCTAAATAAACATCTTTTTTTACATTTGTATGTATTAAATTATCTATAAGATAGAAAAACTTTTTGGAAAATTAAATTAAATATCCTAAAATTAAGTGTCGAAAAGGAAATTCTCGTACAATTTCTCGTACGTATTAAAAAGAACAAAATTTCTTATTATATCAACATCTAGCATTGGTATCTATCTTTTATATATTAATCTAGTTTCTATAACTAAAAAAATATAGTCTTATTTCAAAAGCTAAACTATATACGCCAATAACAAAAGGAGCTATTGTGTAGCCATACATACCTGCATTTGTACGCTTTGACAATTAACAAATTCGATACTGGACACCAGGGAATCAAATACAACGGACGATTTGCGACAGGAATCCATAACAACGGAATTCACTTTGCCTTTGACAGTAAGTGTGCTATCTTGGCACCGAAACATATAAACCACATTATTCATCTCTACGTTATCAA